GGGGGGGGGGGGTATCGCACCTTTATTTTGTATAGAACATTTTTATTTTGGACTTGCCCAAAATATTCCTTGCAATAACCTATTACCACCTTCTTGCTCTATAAAAATATTGCGTGCATGATTCTGCCATTTGTCACCGAGTTGCCTTCAGATGAGGGTAGCTTGTCAATGTCACCTTGCTTCAATTCCTAAAGACCTAAGTGTAAAGCAGAGATTTAGGACAACCAAATCAATATAAGTTAACTTATTGAACCATAGGCAGGTGTAATATTAGCTACCCGTACCAGTATTACTAACTTATAAAATTAATATGTATTTTTAAATAAATTATTTTTATAGCCAAGCATAATGTGTTGATATATATACAGGTCAGTAAAACTCCATTATTGCTCAGTATAGTACAGTATGTTACAATATTTCGAACTATTATAATAATATATATATATATATATTACTTATATACCGGTGCTATATTTGTAATAACCATTAATTAAATTACTAGTACTTATCGAGTATAGTTTAATGCAACACAGAATTAACTGCAACCACAAACAATTTTTTTATTATATGCACCTGATCATGTCGGGCCAAGAATATTTTTTAATTCTTACATGTAGGACCAGCTGTGCGCTTATAGAATTATTGTATCACTTGGTATATAAGATACATTTGATGTTTTGTTAAAACTGCTCTCAGAATGTAGGGAATATCATTTCTAAGCATTTAAAGGGTATTGGCAATAAAAAATGTATTGCTTTATCTGAAAGAGCATGAAAAAATAAGCCGATTGGCCGTTTACTGCTCTACTCTATCTCATCTGGTCAGGGCCCCCACACGTCCCCCCTTGTGCCCCCCCACGAAATCACATTTTGCCCCCCCAGGAAAAGTCCCTTTTTCCTAAAATTATACAAACAATCCAACGAAGATTAACAAATAGATAAACGGAAAGTAAGTTTTAGGCTTTATCCTTTGTTCTTGTTTAACAAAATCGATTTAAATTGTTACTTTTTTACCACTAAGTAATGATAAATTATTGTTAATAATTTTTTTATTTTTTGGATGCTAACAATGCAGGAAATAGCATTTCACGGTTTCAAATTTCAAAAATTTTCTTGGGATTATCCCTCTAATAAGCTGTAATGATAAATTACAGTTGATATTCTTTTTTACTTTTTGTGCATTTTTCCATCTTTTATTTCAAATACAACTATAGTTAGCATAAATTTTAGAGCAAATTTGGATGCTCAGAATGCAGGAAATGGCATTTCCGTGCTTCAAATTTCAAAAATTTTCTGGGGGAGTACACCTCCACACACCTGACCATTGCTATCCTCCTCTAATAAGTAATGATAAATGATGGTTAATTTTTTTTTACTTTTTGTGCGTTTCTTCCTTTATTTATTTCAAATACAAGTATAGTTAGGATAAATTTTGGAGCAAATTTGGATGCTCAGAATGCAGGAAATGACATTTCCAGGAGTCAAATTTCAAAAATTTTCTGGGGGAGTACACCCCCAGACCACCCCCCATTCAAGCGTGCCCCCCTTAAAAAAGGCCCTGAGTATGTCATCTTCTGCTGACATACCCTTTTTTTATTAATATATATATATATATATATATATATATATATATATATATATATATATATATATATATATATATATATATATATATATATATATATTTATATATATATATTTATATATATTTATATATATTTATATATATTTATATATATTTATATATATTTATATATATTTATATATATTTATATATATTTATATATATTTATATATTCTATTTCAGAACCATCCTCAGAGATAGGAAAACTAGTTTCATATTAATCTGACACTGCAATCGAGCAACGAAAAATTCGTTGGCTCGAGCGGGATTTGAACTCGCATCTTCGGGTATCTAGACCGCCGCTCTACCCATTGAGCTATCGAGTCAACGGGGATTGGTAGCGAGTCTTATCCAATTTAAGTGCACGAAATATTTTCGTGACGACTTAACGCTTGTCTTTGAGGACGCGCAGTGTTTCAATTCTATTTCAGAACCATCCTCAGAGATAGGAAAACTAGTTTCATATTAATCTAATATGAAACTAGTTTTCCTATATTAGATTAATATGAAACTAGTTTTCCTATCTCTGAGGATGGTTCTGAAATAGAATTGAAACACTGCGCGTCCTCAAAGACAAGCGTTAAGTCGTC